TGAATGTTGTGTCTAAACTATAGTTACTAAGTTACTCATTTTTTACTACCTTATTTCTCACTTAATTGTTTTATAATAGCAATATGACATGATTACAGCTGTTGCGTTATATATGCAAATACTTATTTGAATGTGGCGCTTTCGCGAGGGTTCATTTTGAATCCTAACGTTAGATATAATTTTCCAGATTCACCTTCCAGTGAATGAACTTACAAGCGTTGCTCGACTTGTTACTGTTGTTGTCGTTCTCACCGTGTGATGTTGCGGTACTTTCTGTGTTCATGTCTTCTTGAGCTACACTTCCAGCACGCGTCCTCTCAGCCCTCCTGCGGTGTTTGGAACTGTGTGGCCGGTGATGACGATGAGACTGTCTGCCCATGGGCATCCGCACACCCAAAAACAGAGTCCTGTGACCTGAGAGAAAAGATAGATGGTGAGATTCACTGTGGTTTTCCAGTTAATATGACTGTATTGACCTGTTGGCTGTATCACATGAATGGCTGAGTATGTGTTGTGGATGCATACTAACCCTCTAGCTCTTCTTTCTCATAATGGATATTCAGAACTGAGCTGGTGCCACCATGGTCCACCACAGCTTCCTCATCAGGCCTCTGTAAGACACATGTTTACTTGTTTTAATGAGAGTGTAAATAAGTACATACAGTACCATAGTCTTACTAACTCTAAACTATTTTTTCCCCATCAAAACAGTGTTGTTTATTTAATAATTTTTTTCTATTTGGGGATGTCACAAAACTAATGACATATTTTTTTTATCCCCTCAACCTAATACTCAAAAAAGTGTTTCATTTTCACATATTATTTAAGATATTATTTACTATGTGTTTGCCTGTTTCATGGTAATTTTACTATGAGGTTTCACTATATTTGTGGGGACATTTGGTCCCCAATAGTAAACGCATCTCAACATACACACAATGAATTCAGACTTGAATTCAACTTCATTTCAAATGAAGGTCCTGTCTCAGATGATGAATGTGTGTTAGGGAAAGACAGACTTATGAAAGACAGACTTATGAGTTATTATAAGGCCTGGGCATGAATAAGCTCACATTTACTGTTGTTCTAAGCAGCGGATGCTTTCTTATCAAGCTTTAAAGGGTAAAATCATAATTTTTAGCACTTAAGGAAATAAATACAGTGCATAAATATAATATTTGTTAAGATTTTTTTTGCATAGTCATAATTTGTTGGTTTACACCTCCATTTTTCACTTTCTGACCCTGTTAATTAAGGTGCTGTTTAAAACACATAGGTTTTTGCTGCTTAGCTTAATTTATGAAAGTTACTATGTTTTCACAGCGTGTCATAGGACTCATAATAAAAAAAATTGTAATCAAAAGATTAAGAAAAATTTGATTTTTTTTCATCATTTGACCTATCTGCTTAATCTCTAATTGCGATAAGTCAAAGGAGGCACCTTTAAATATATCACCAAATTAAAACAATATACTTTGCATATTTTTCATCAAATATAAAAAGTACACTAGTTAGTATTGACATTTTTCTTTAGGCCATACATATTTTATTTAGCACATGAACTGCTTGACCCTGCAAACCTGTTAGACACAATATAGTACATATTGCATGATCCTGGGCAGTTTAGTTATGAATGTATGCAAAATAGATGCACAGTGGCACATAATCCATTAAATACGTTAAATCAAAGTTGCATGAATAGATCTTACCTGACTTTGTGGTTGCCTGTGAATAAAGGTACTGTAACCCCCTACCCCAAACAGTTAGAGATCACTGATATTTATTAGGCTTCCTTCACTTCCTTCTTTACATTTGTGTGTGTGTGTGATATCCCACTGGGATTCTTTCCATGAAAAAGATGATTCATCAATGTGTTTGCACAGCTTTATTCTGCAGGAACACAAGCCTAAATCCTGTTGGAACATTTTCTGCATAAAAAAATACAGCCAAACGGAAGGCACAAATATTCTCACAGACTTTAAAGTGCAGTACAATAACAATAGAGTCAAGAAAATCTTTCTCAAATGAACCCATTGGTTTTAAAATGATCTATATTCACTGCTGTGCAAATGATGCTCTGTTGTGTTTTTTGCTTGAGGCTTATGTGTATATTTGATCGATGAGGTATTGATTGACAGCCATAGTGTGGATCAGCATTGAGGTCATGCATTACATTGTGTGTTACAACAAAAGCACCAGTAGCTTTCCACTATGATAGCATCCGCCTTGTTTCCAACATCCCACTAACATATAATTATGTTAAGGCAACTTATCAAGGTCCACCAGAACTACAGTTATTACAGGCTTAAGAACAATTGCTTTAAATTATGCCAAGTTTCATAGCTTCTCTAATCGTTAGACCACCGACTGTGATTTCATTGTTATTTTAGCTTGCATTTCCAGGTAATAAATGTTACATGGCTGCAATGCAAAATCACTATAATTATACCTCACTTTTGAATGATTACTCTTTTGTTTTGAGGTTTTTAATGAAATGGATCCATTTTATACAGTCATACCCTCTGCTTTCCCTTTGAAGAATGAGTGCATGCATGAATACAAGAAAAACGGCATTTTGCAAAAGGGGACCCATTAGTTAAAAAGCCCTTAAGTACTGTTACTAATTTAATAAGAATATTTGTTCCCAGATGTATTGCACTGTATGACAATAGGATGGGATGGTAGGACTTGCCAGAGTACAGACGTCATTGTATAGATCGGTTAGAAGGGTTCGACTATTTTAAACCTTTCATACTGTTTTAAAAAAAAAGTAATGTTTTTGGTAGGACTCTTACTGCCAGAGACATTTGTCTTAATGTTTATAACTGTAGCGTTATTGCTTTAAAGGGTATTATTTAAAAAAATTTGTAGAAATATATTTGAAGTTGACTAGATAAACTAACAACCTCATATTATTTTATAATTTATGTAATCATTACTTAAGTGACAGTCTTAAACACACGACAACCATACAATCTAGCTAGTTATTGTCATTAAAACACTTACCCAGGGGGAAGGAGAAAATAGTCATAGAGCTAATCAGGTGAACAAGTTGATTAATTTTTCATTATCGGCTCTATGCTGCTGTTGTCCTACTCCTCTCAATCTCTCCTTGTCTTTCTCCCTTTATTGGTCTGCCATGAGCACATACCTTTAATTAAAATAATAACAAAACACTTGAGCTGACTAGACTGCTCCTGTGTCACCTAGGTACTCGTTTGTGTGTACAGTATCTGTGTGTGTCACTCACAAAGATTTTCCACTCACAAAAAATGTCTTCTTCTTACCTCTCCTTATCCCCAGGCAACATTTCCGCAGTCCCTGATCAAAAACGCATACACACAAGACAAGTCTATATTGTATGCAAACCTTAACTGCGATTTTATTTTTCTTAATTGTTACTTTTTCTATCTTGCAGTTATGAGCTGCAAGATGGAAAAGTCAGAAATACATTTCTCAGTGTGCCTTGATATCAAATACAACTTTATTTCTCACAATTGCAAATTTACACTACCAAAAGTTTGGGGTCAGTATAATGTTTTTAAAGAAGCTAATACTTTTATTCAGCAAGGATGCACAGTATGACAGTACTGTGCATGATGACAGTAAAGACATTTATAATATTACAGTTAACAAAACATTATAATTTTCCACAAAAACATGGTTCAAAATAATTTAATATTAATTAAATTAATTTAATAGTATTAATTAATTTAATAGTAAACAGTTATTTTATTGTATTAATATTTTTTATTAAATAAATGCATTCTTGTTGAGAATAAGAGATTTCCTTCAAATACAGTACATTAAAATTCTTTCTGGCCCAAAACAATAGTAGTGTATATCTTTATTTCTCACAATGTAACTGTAAGGCCCACTTTATTTCTTATTTCTTATTGTATCTCACAATTACCAATGTTTTATTTTTTGCTCTGAGCAAGAAATTGTAAAATTAATAAATAAATTAGATGGTTTAGATGGAGGTCACTACCAGTGTGTGTGCCCACTCAGTGTCAGTTTGGCTGCCAGTACATCAGTATTGCCCTTTTGCCTTCAAAGGTCACATGGGCAATTTTCTTGCCCTTCCTCCTCTTTCTTGCTTGCTCTCTAGCACATTTCTGTGACAGTTCTGTTAGTAATCTTGACACAGAGCACTACCTCTGCCACTTCCAGATGCTCCAGTCTGCCTGAACAGATACAGTGACACATGCACACAACACACACACACACACAAGCATGCACAAACCATAAAATCATTTCAACTCTGAAGTGAATGCTTTTATGTTGTTATTCATAGAGGGTAGAGTGTATGTTATCGATTACTGTTCATTTTTCAATAAACCACTAAAAGCATCATTTTGGGAGAGATGGTCAACCCACTGCAGTATTCAGACTTGGAATAAAGAATTGTGGTTAGAGAGAGAGTTGAAGTACTACCTGTTACTCTTGGCAGAATGACTCATTCACTATTCATTGCCACCTCACCCGTTCTATCACAATGGCATCATAGCCTTCATGAGGTGCATATTTAAAATAAAAAATAAGGATCGGTTTGCATATTAACTTAAGTGCATTTGTATTAACGTTGTATGTGACAACTTTTTTACTTTCAAAACGCACAATGTTTTCTTAAAAAAAAAAAAGCAAATAACAAAGACATTTTTGGTTCCCTGTTTTTGTTGTGTATGCTTGTGTTTGTATGCTTTAGTGTGGGTGTGTGAGTACTTGTTCATGCAGCAGTAATAAAAAATACCATGGCATTACCATGATACCATGCTAATTGTTAATAATATATTTTGGCATGTCAAAGGTAATACCATGGTATTCTTTTAAGCTTTGAAAAAACAGATGGGAGATTAGAGTGTCTGATACCATCACTATCATAGAGTTTCAGCAATATGTTTTTGTAATGGTGTCTTTTTTTTTTT